CCTAGAGCTCTAGCTAACTTCCTGCTTAAAAAAAATCTTATTTTCCTTTTATTACATCTTTCAAATAGCTTGAGACTAATTTTAACAGTCTTTGAAAATATTCCACCTTTTGGAAAGATATCAAGTGGTAAGAATAGCTTATTCATCAGACAAAATATCTTGGACTGTAAGTTTGAATTGGCAGCCTTGCATAATAGGAATTTAAAATTGCAACATATACATGCAGCAAAAGAGCTATTTGAGTCCAATGTTCATAGCTAATTAGTCATCTTGTCTTTTCCATAGATGTTTATTTAATTAATTTCTCTAAACAGATACTAATAAACTTCAGAACTTCCGTTTGTCTTTCACTTTAACACAAGCAAAACAAATTTATTTTCTCCTGTTATACTTGACTCATTTTTCCATAATTCCAATTTGCTTTCCATGAGTTGCATGTGAAGTACAGAATGTTTGCAGGATGTACAATTTAGCTATTTGGATTTCATCCATTTCTCCAGGACTACACTGTTTGCAACACTAATTAAGTCATTCTGCAGTATTTTAGGACAGAATCAACAACTGAGCTTTAACCAGAGGAAGATGAGTGGTGGACAGGGTTTTCTCAAAGACAAATCCTGAAGCTACCAAGTGCTGCTCAGTGGCAAAGCACTTGCCTAGCATGTGCAAGGGTCTAGGTCCAATCCTTAACATTACCAAAAAAAAAAAAAAAAAAAAGACTTACAATAGAGGCAGGGAGTGGAGAGAGGGAAAGCAAAGAGGGACTATGTTAGCCAGCTTTCTACTGTAATAAATACCTGAGATAAATCAACTTACAAGGTGGAGAGTTTTATTTTGGCTCACAGTTTTTGAGGGCTCAGTCTATGCCCAGTTGGTTTTGAGTCAAGCATATAGTAGAGAAAGCTGCTCACTTTTGTGGCTAAAAAGTAGAAGAGAAACAGGAAGAGATCAGGGTCTTAAAGTCCCTTTCAGAGTGTGACTCCCATGACCTGGGGACCTCCCACTAGACCCTGCCTCCTAAAGGTTCCACATTAGTACCAAGCCAAGGACTAAAATTTTAAGACATGAGCCTTGGGGCCATTCCTGGTCCAAACTATAACAGGGACAAGGGAAGCTGTGACACCACCACCCTCATGAGCAGGTAATGCTCACCCTGGATATGATGTCTCAGGGTAAGGGATACTATGGGCAAAAATATATGGACACTGTCTTGCCCACGTCCATCCAAGTTGTAAAGTTCTATGCAGTATTTCAGAAATTTTGTAATATAAGCAAAATAACGATCCCCACATCTGTAGAGATTCTTTCCTCTCTATTTTTGAAGTTAGTTTGGGGCTCAGCTTCCCCTCAGAAGGGCTCCTGAGTGCCTGCCTAAACTTACACCTTCAGATTCTTATACCCACATGCAAATTCAACACCTTTTCTCCCTAACTGCCTCCCGATAACTCCAAGCTTCCATATCCCAGACTACTATTCCAAGATCAGCTCAGATGTTCCCTCAATACCATCAGCCCCAAGATACCCCAGTCAGGAGGAGGCTGGGAAAGACAGACAAAAGCATGGAGCTCTCCTAAGACCAGTGAGCTGGCACCTCTGCCAAGTCAGCTGTGGACAATGATCTTGAAAGGGAGCCACGAGGTACCAAGGATCCATCATCTGTGCTGCTGAGCACAAGGAAAACACACCTTGTAGTTGCCCGAGCTTGTTGATGCTTTGACTCCCTTTGAAACTGTCTGGGGACTCATCCTTTGACCCATTTGGTCCCCAGCCTGCTCTCCCTTAGAGGGCCCAAGAGAACTTTCTGTTCCTATTATGTACTCACTTGAAACTTGATCTACAGGCTGCCTGGGACACCTCTTTTTTCTGCATAACAAGTTTATTTTTTTGAAGGCATATAGACAAACATACATTTATGCAGATTTTAACTTCTGTCCGAGACGTGCTATTTTCAATCTCTAAATGTTCTTAGTTCAGTAGTCATCATCTTCATCTGAGTCCACTACTTTTCTTCTGTTGAATTTAACTGTTGTTTTCTTTTCTGTTTGTTGGCTTACTTTTTCAAGGATTTCTATTAAGCCATGTTCTGAGACCTTCCCACCCAGCTGTCTGTATCTTGCCATCTGTATAAGGTAATTTTCTACTGCTTTTGCTTTTTCAGGTTTTACAAGTGCTACGTTACTTAAGCTGGCTCAGGCTGACTGGCCCAGAACTTGAGCTAGGATACTGTTTCTCATTTCAGCTCCCCTGCACTTTGCCTCCTGTTGTGCTGCATCGCTTGGATCCCGGTGTTTCGCTTGCAGCTCGGCCAGCCTCTGCTTCCTCAGAGGCTCTAGCTCTTCATCTACCATGGCTCGACTCTCGTGCAGCAGCTCTGGGACACCTCTTGAGTTATCTGGCTTTAACATTACATTTTAAATTTTCCCACTGGGCTATTTGATCTCGGATCTTTGACAGTAGGGCACCCTTGGCACCAGCTGGCAATCTGGACACACTATAGGCATAGCAAGATTAGGAGAATCAATTACTCTTTTGTCTTCACGGACAGCATTAAGATGCATGATAGGAAACCTGGAATCCATAATGATAGAAAGAGTTCTTGCTTTTGTTTGAGCACATGCAAACTAGTAAGGCCCTTTTAAAATGATGAAAGAACCTAAAATAATATTTTTATTTAATTATTTGGGCAATTTAGTCACAAGTCATCTGATTTTCTTAGTCTTTCATGTCACTTGGTAGTATTGTAGCTTGGATCAGGAATGTCTCCCCAAGACCCAGGTGTTGAAGACTTGGGTGTCACCTGCACAGCTCTCTTTTCCAGCTGTCAGGAGAAAGCAGTCTTTTCTGCTATGCACCATTGCCATTAGATACTGCCTCACCTCAGGCCCCAAGGCCATGGCACAGTGACTATGGGCTGAAACCTCTGGAACCATGTGCAGCTACTTAGTACAACTGGGTCATGGCACAAATGCTACAGGGATAGAGGGACAATCAGACAAAGCATCTTTCAGCTGCACCTAGCATGTGACTTAGGTGGGGGATGTGGGATAGGGTATTGCTACATAGCTCAGACTGGTCTTGAACTTGTGGCAGTCCTTTTGCCTCAGCCTGGGATTATAGGCAGGTACCACTATTCCCAGAATTCTCCTTTTCTTAGTAGGGGTTGGGGGAGGGGTCAAGATGTGACTTGAGTCTTACAATAGCTATGATTTATTGAGCCTTTAGGTATTGAACTAGAAAATATTTGAGATGGAGGAATAGTTTGTTTCTCTCAAGCAGAGAGACATGGAAGAGCCTAGAGTACACCATGAAAGGCAGATAGTTCTGGGAGAGACTGTGTGTGTGTGTGTGTGTGTGTGTGTGTGTGTGTGTGTGTGTTTATATTTTACCCAGTAGATAAAAGGAAGTCAGTTGAATTGCTTTCAGTCATGGAAGGAAAATGATTAGAGTTGGTTAGTGATGTTCTGGTATAAGAAAAGAATTGGAGGGAGGTCATTCAGAAGCCAAGAAACCAGAGTTTTGCTTAGACTCCTGCCTGCCAGTCTAGACAAGAGCATAAAGAGCTGGATTAATGCAGGAGGCTTTAGAGAAAAATAGCAGAGAAAGCACTGACAGATCTGGGGTCATATGAGATGTGAGTGTGGTATGTAGCTTGAAATGTTCCAAACACATTCCCCAATTCCCCACTTTTTTGAGAGTGCAGGATCTTACTAGACCCTGCATCTTGGAGGGAACTCCCTCTCCCCTCAGGAATGTTACATCAGAGCTCATCAGACCCCATATATGGGTTCTGAACGTAGCTATTGCTCTCAACTACTGAACTTCAACACACACACACACACACACACACACACACACACACACACATCTATATATATCTGGCATATTATACATTGATTGGCACTTGAAGGCCATAACAAGGCTACATTCTGCCTGCTACTTCTCTGAAGATCTAGAGCTCAGGTTGGGACCAGGAGACACCATTTGCTGTCGAGCTGGCCTCCAAAGCCTTGCCTGCCAATGCCTGTGCCTTGCCATGGCATTGAAGGACTGCACATCTCCATCTTCGTGGTAGTGTTCAAGCCAGCTTCTCCCAAAATTCATGCAAGAGAAACCTCAGGGCTGGAAGTGTAGCTCAGTAGCAGACACTGAATTCTGGGTTCAGTCCCCAGTATCACACCCCCAAAAGATGTACCTCAACTTTTGTCAGATCTTCCTTTCCACAGAGGCTTTCTTCCATTCTAACAGAGCTACACTTTTAGCAACCTAATAATCTAACTAAACAGGACTTTAACAATTTTGGAACTCATTTACTGTGTGGTTAATGTACCTCATCTAAGGAATAATTGGTTTATGTTACTCTCTTCCTCTTCAAGCACTGTGAACCTAAAAAGTATTCTCTTCAGATGGCAATTAACTGTGTGACTTGTGAAATCATTCTTTAATCGTCTTTTTAATTCCATCAGATGCAAAAGAGGATCAGGGAGACAGGAAGGGAAGAATGTTGAGGCAACTTCTGGCTGGCAAAGACCACTTTATAGAAAAGGGTTTTTTTTTTTTAATAACAGAGGCTAGGGGCCAGGGACATGGCTCAGTGGAATAAGTGCTTCCCTGGCAAGCACAAGGGCCTGAGTTCAATCCCTGGTTCCACAAGAAAAAAATAAAAAAAATAACAGAGGCTATACTTATATTTGCACCAATAAATAAAAATATTACTCATGATCTGTGACTGTTTTTATATCAGCTCATAAAGTATCCATCCCTTCACTTAAAAAACACACAATTTCATGACCACAGCAAAATACCCTAAGGAGAGATCCTGCAGTTACTCCCAGCACTCTCCTCCTCTGCATACTTTCCCTTCTCCCCAGCAGACTCCCTCTGCAGAACCCTATCTGTACTACATGACACCAATCAGAGTTCAGGCGTAAGAGAAGCACTGAGCAGTTCTGGGCTCTGGTGCAAGTATGATATCTATAAAAAGACATTTAGAAAACAAGGAGTAATGTTGCCATTTTGCCTTTAATGGAAAAGTGGCCAGAAGTTACAGTTTAGAAAAAAAAAAAAAAAAGTTCTTTTATTAAAAAAAAAACAAAACAACTCTATCCAACTTGTAGACAATTACTTCAGAAAGACACATACACTTGAAAACCAGTAAAGTCTTTATAAAAATAAACTCTGAACATGTGATCAAAAAGGGAGAGACCCAGTGTTTTTAGCTGCACAACTGCATAATAAAAAGGACACAGTCTGCCTGAGAAGCTTCACCCCAGGGTGGAAGGGGCTTTGACTTTGGAGGACAGAGCCTGCTTGAAGCGCCTCTTCAAGTCCTGCATGTTTGGAGAGCGAGGCCGGGGAATGATGGAGGCCCTTCTCCGCTCTCCACTGAGGCTGTGCAGCTTGCTTACTTCCTTACAGAGATGCTGAAACACGTCACAGACATCTTCATAGTTCTCACTAGTGGATATTTCAAGGAACAGGCTGCCCAGCTCATTGGCTAGCTGAATACCATCGTGTGTCTGCACTTGCCGGGCATGCAGGAGGTCTCCCTTATTTGCCACAATGATGATAGGGGCTTTCAAGTCAGGGTGGACCTTCCGGATGTGCTGGTAGAGGGGCCGGATGGACTGGTAGCTGTTGTAGTCCGTAATGGAATAGACCAGCAGAAAGCCATCTGCCCACTGCACACACTTGGACAGGGAATCCACTGCCTGGCTGAGGTTGTCTTGGGCCTAAGAAAGATAAAAATGAGACCAGATCAAGGAAGGCTTCGGTGCAAGATGAGCTTAAATATATCATCAAAGGAACCACTGAAGAAACACTGGAAAAGGAAAGCCTTACATACAGTTTTCAGGTTCTAACCAGCCTCTGCAGAAGGAGGCTTTTGATACAGAAAGTACAAATTCTCAAACTCCCTGCCTACCTTATTTTATTAGCTGTTATTGATGTATTATTTTTAACACTCACCGCTTGACAGGTAGTCTCTGGTGAACCATGGCTGACTGAAGAACAACTTTAAACCAGAATGGCTCAATTTTTAGAGAACTAATTCATAACAAACAAAACTTTGAAAATAAGCCAAGATAAATATCTATTCCCAAACCCATACAAATATTTTTAGCAGGCAACTTCATGAGAATGCTACAGAAACAAATTCTTTTCTTTGGCTTCTTCCCCAAGACCTTTCCCCTCTAGAAGGGATTAGCACTAGTAACTAGCTGGTTAAGTTACATTCCAGACCAGACCACTGACTAACAGTTAATTGCAGTCACTGATTTAAAGAAGTAGCCAACGAAAGGAGCGCTTGGCCACCCCGTGGTAGGAAGAAGACCCTCTCCCACCAGAATCCCAACCCTTTCTTGCTTGTTTATTAACTAATTTTTAAGTGGTTCCAGGGAGTCAAAAGGGTAGGGTGGGGGTTGTACTTGCTAACCACATCCTTTACCACTGAGCTGCACTCCAAGTCCAGTTTTTGTTTGTTTGTTTGTTTGTTTGTTCCGTGGTTGAGCTCTGAAAGTAATGAGACCTGATGGCGATCAGGACTGCCCAGTGAAGCATTAGTCAGTGACCCATATATGGGTCTGATAAGGTCTCCTCTAGCATTCCTGAGGGGAGAGGGAGTTCCGTACCAGAGGCGGGGTCAGTAACACCGAGAGCTCTCAAAGCCACCCCTAACCAACACCCACCATGGGAGGGTTTACAACACCCCAACCCCCAGACCCATTGCGTACAGCCCGCTTCTACATTTAAAAGCACATTATAGGCACTTGGTTATCTTGTTCCGCCCTGCACGCTGGCCATCCTCGGGTGGCCTGGCAGGGCTGAGCAGTGGTCTCCTGGCAGTCCTTACCTGGAAGCTACCAGGTGTGTCCTGGATCTGCAGGGACAGCTGGTCGCCCTCGACGAAGACGAGCCGGGAATATAACTTGCCTGGGGAATTAAGAGTTTACTTTTAAATTCCTGCACTCGGATCAGCAAACAGAAACATGCAGGCAGAAAAACAATGAGCAAGCAGTTATTCTAACCTGTATTCGGTTCATAGTCACCAATGAATCGTTTGGTCAGGAAGCGTACAATCATTGCTGAAAAGAAAACAGGAAAATCAGCTCAGGGAATAGGTCAAGACCCTACAACGGGAACACTCCGGGGGAGCAGGGTGGCTGCCAATGGGTCGCCAGACCCCGAGAACTGCTCGCTTCGCACGCCTGGCTCTCAAAGCCGAAGGAGACCCCTTCCTGCACCACATTCTCGACCAGGCGCCTACCCAGGTCAGAGCCCAGAGATAGATCAGCCGAGGAAACAGGTGAGCAGAAAGGCGACAGGACGGACGGGGACCCTATCGGTGCCCACAAGCCCAGGCTTGCCCGACCCCGCCGCCCCGCCTTGCCGCGGGGTCCCCACCACATCGCACTTACCGCTTTTGCCCACACGCCCGGCGCCCAGCACTGCCAGCTTGATGTCCTTGGGCAGGAGACAGTCAGAAGAGGACTCCGGGATGGGAGTGAGCAGAAAGTGCCCGGACATGGTGGGCAGCCGCATGGAGCTCGTCCCTCTGCGGGGCGCGCAAGGGAACGGTCGGGCCGTTCGCACCCAGAGCAGCTCTGAGCTTGGAGCCAGACTTTCTGTGCTGCCCGGACCCGAGGCTTTTAAAAGGCTGGGCGGGCGGGGCAGACCCCGGACCGCCCCAGCTCCGCCCCTGCCCCGCCCAAAGCAGCGCCAGGAAGGTGGTCCCGGGTGCCCGCCAGGATAGCAGCCTGGCTCCCCTACGCGCTCTGCCCACGACCCCGGAGCCCACAACCCTAGAACCCACCAGCAGCCTGTCATCCCCAGGACGCCCGTGCGGCCACGGTGCCAGCCCAGCCAGAGGGCCCTCTGGACCCCACTGCCGCTCACCCGGCTCCTCAGTCCTGTGAACGAATCTGAGTTTGGGTTCCGTAATAGAAAGAAAAGGAATTCCCTTGCATATATCTGCCACAGTGGGAAGAATAGATTCCTGGAGAATTTTGACCTTTTTATTTTTAAAAGGTGCTAAGGGGGTGACATTAATACGGAGAAAAGACAACAGAGGTCATAAGGCCTAAGTCGGTATCCCTCAAGCTAGCTGAAGTCACTTGCTTGTGAAGTCCCCTTGGGGGCAGTAACCGTTTGTAGCTAAGAGTCCCGACCTAGCAGCCCCTTCCCTGCTGGCTGGCGCTGGGCGGCTGACTGACTCATCCTGAGCGCGGAAGAGCTTTCCACCTGCTGCGCGCTGCAGTTCAGGGCTTGCTCGTCATGCGTCCCGGCCTCTGCGCTTGAGTCATGCACGTACTTCACTAGTCAAGTGTTCACTTCTAGTACAGGTGGAGTTGAGTGTGAGGTGAGGGGGAGAGAACAGCCGGGAGATAGCCGGTCCCTGGAGCCCACAGTGACAAACCAGAAGCCCTGGAACTTTATCCTTCCACAGTTAAAAAACCTTTAGCTTTCCATGTGCTGTTCCAGCCTTATCTGTCCAACCGCCTATATATTAGCCCCAAACTATTCACACACTGTCTCCCGGTTTTCATTGGTTAAATTCCACTATGTAATGAGCCAGGCAAAACTTAACAGCTACGGGCAACAAGCACTTGCTGTATAGCTCAGGGGATCCTTACCTTAATCTAGGTCACTCTGCAGATCTTGTCTGACTCCTTTGCAGTTGGGTTAGAGCTCCCAGATCCTGGGGGGAGAGATAGGGCCGGGTGCCCAGGATGGGCTCACTCTGGGTCCCTGGGAGCTAGCTGTAGGCTGTGACAGTAAAGGGGCGGTAGCTGAGTCTTATCCTTCAGCAGGCTGGCAGGGAGTCGAGTCCAGTTCCAAGAGTGAGTGGAAGTGTGCAAAGCCTCCCGAGATCCAGGCTTCCACGCGGAGCTGTCATTTGTGGGGCACTTGGCTGGCCAAAGCCCTGAGGTCGCCTCCATTCCTTAGGGGAAAGGCATATCCTTGATCTCTGTGGAAGGAGCTGCAACGTCCCATCTGAACAGGCTGTGGCGGAAAGCAGTAGAGAACATGGGCCGCTTGTGCACTGGAACACACGGATGAATGTGCTTCCACCCACCCAGGTGATTACAGCAGGCTTGTGACCTGTCCTTTACTGCAGCCACCCCTCTCATTTCACTGGTTAATGGCCAGGCTCCATCGTTTCTGCTAACTACATTCCTCCATATGTCTTCTTCTATATCACAACTGCTCTTTTTTGTCTACTGAACAATCCTGAAGTAGACTAGAATAGATGGCGGCTCAGCTTTCTTGTTCTTGTTCCCTTTGAAGTAGCTTTCTCTGATCAGTACCACAACCTCCACGCCCCATCCTGGGTACTCGACCTCAGGGCTCTCTTGGCAGAACTGAGCCCAGCTGCCTTTACTTTGTGGTGGAATATTTGTTTTATGTCATTCAAATATTTCCTCACCCAAACTGGAAGGCAAGGATTATTTTTAAATCTTTTATTTATTTTAAACATTTTTTTAAATTAACTAGGTACATGGTCTTGTTATGCAGCTCAGACTCATAGTGATCCTCCTGTCTCAGCCTCCCCTGTGCTGGGATTACAGCATGCACCACCACGCCCAGTTTTGGTGGCCAGCAGGGCACATGTGGGGTTCAGGGGCTGGCACAGCATGTAGTAACAGAGATCGAACCTGGGTCCTTGCAAGTGCCAGGCAGGAACTTAGACCACAAAGCTACCTCCCCAATCAAATCTTTTTTACTTGGTACAGGGTCTCACTATGCAGCTCGGACTTGTGATCCTCCTGTCTCAGCCTCCCCAGCACTGGGATTGCAGGTGTGTCCCACCATGCCTGGTTTCGGTGGCCTGCATGGTGCGCCCGGGGTTCTGGGAACTGGCACGGCATGCAGTATACTGGAGATTGAACCAGGGTCTTTGTGCTTGCCAGGCAGGTGCTTAGACTGCTGAGCTATCTCTCCAGCCCAGGGAAGGATTCTTTGCTTTCTTTTTCTATGAAATAAAATAATTATTGCAAAAACTCAACCAACTTCCTTCACATATCACAAGCCAGAGCAGAGAAGCTAAGGAGATTATCTAAGAATCTAGCAAAGAAGGGTAGGATGGCCATGGCTAGCTTGGACAATCCTGGCTCCTCTCCAGGGACAGACACTCTGATACTCCTATTTGAAATCAAGGAGCACTGAGAATGGCTCTATGCAATCTGCTACAAAACTCCTTCATTTTTCTAGGGTTAAAATGCAGAATATTGGGTTTGGGCTTATAGCTAAGTGGTACAGCACTTGCTTAGTTAACAAAAAGAGCAGAACTTTCAGAGTTCTTTCTTGGGCCTTGAATCTTGAGCATATCTCTTTACTTCACTCAGTCTTACTTTTGCTGTCTGGATTAAAACCATTTTAGCTTAAGGTCATCTGATAAAGAGTTCCTAAGAATTTCTGCCCAGAAATAATTATGTTCCACTTTGCATTTATATTGCCCCTTTGCTTAGAAGAGCTCAAGATGTTATTTATTTCTCCTTGGAAAGGTTCTTTGGATTTATAGATAGATATACAGACTAATCTGTGACCTTTAAGAGAAGACAATAAGCCACTGAACTAGAGAATTATAAATAGCCTAGCTTAAATTGTTGCTGCTTGTGTTCCATTTTGTTTGATTTCTTTGTGTCCAGAGTTATATAAAATTGTGGTGCAACAATGTAACACAGGTATACTTAAGTGATTTTTAAAAAGATAATAGAAAAGTAGGCATAGATACAGATACACAGATCTGTGGGTGTTTTGGATGAGTGTGAAGGGCAACATTTGATAAAGCACAAATATCAGACTTGGTAAATTAACTCTATCAGCCAAATATGTTTGAATTCCAGTGTATAGGCAAAATTTGCCAAGATTCCTCTTGTTCATGAACATTCCTTCACCCTACCACCTGTCACCCAATGTCAACTACCTTCACTGTATAGCACAGGGCCTTGAATACTGAATTTCACTGGTGCCTCAGGCTGTATTTGAGCTGCTCTCCAATCCCACTGCAAGGTTCTATGCTAAGTGCTAGTACAGAACACAAATAGCTAACTTTCAAACATTCACTGAAAGTACAGTATCAGATATGCCACCTGCCTTCTGACACCACTATAAGTGGAAGAAACTTTGTCATTTGTAAATTTTTGTTGAGTTTACTAAAAATAACCTCAAATAGTATCTTAAGCATTAGTCCTGTAAAATGGGTTAAAAATATTCTAGACTGAACCAGGCATATAGCTCAGTGGCACAGCACCTGCTTGGAAAGCATGAGGCCAAGTTTGACTTCTGGTACCAAAAAAAAATCTAATTCAAGGTTCTGGCAAACAGTAATTTATCTAAAGTCACAGCTTAGTTGGGCTCCCAAGCTCTGACTACAATTCTTGGGCCTTCCCACCACTGTGGGGAGCAGGATGAACACTCTGCTCACCTACATGAAGGACAAAGCACAGGTCAGACGCAGGTGCCAAAAAGCCTGCAACAGTAAATTAAATCTTAAGTGGGGAAAGGTTTCCAGAAATGCTACCAGAAGCATATGGGCCTCTGGAATCTGAGTAGTCTGTGACAGGAAGAAGAGCAGGGTGAGGTGCATGAAGTGCAGGGGACAGCAGAATCATTGGGCAGGAAGCATATGGCGAGCTCCAGGGAACACTGAACAGTCTCAAGGGGGGAGGATGCAGTGGGGATACAAAAGGGTGGTTTAAGACCAGCCTTTGGATGGCATAGGCCATGGTAAGGAATTGGAGGCAAGGTGTTTGAGACAAGAGTCTCACTATATAGGCCAGGCTGGCCTCAGACTTGGAGCAAACTTCATGTGCTGATTATAGGCATGTGCTACTATGCCTGGCTAGGCTAAGGAATCTACCAGAAGCCTGTGGAAAGGCTAATCTTTGGAGAGTATGTAGCTCTTATTGTGGGCCAAGTGTCTGTGCTAGAATCTTACAAAGGACAGGATACAAGAGTTCTCAATACTCTTGCGATCAATTATTCATCGTCCATGAGTTCTCTTCTTTCTCAGATGGATCAAAAATAAACATTTAATTGCAACTTCCCTTAGACATTGCCTCATTAAACAGTATCCCACTTGACCAAGGCTTAAGCGCCTGCCTGGCAAGCACAAGATCCTGAGTTCAATCCCTGGTACTCCCCCAAAAAAGGTACCCAACACAATTTCCATAAATTCTATTCGTGCTTGGAAAGAATGTCTGAGAACTCCTCTATGCTTTTTCCTTTAGAGGCTCTGTAAGACTGCCAGTCAGGTGCTCCCTTACTACACACTTTCAGTGTTTGAAGACTCACAGAGGTCAGGGATACAGCTCGATGGCGCAGCACTTGCCGGGCAAGCACAAGATGGTGAGTTTGATTCCTGGTTAAAAAAAACAAAACAAAACAACAAAAACCACAGCCCAGAACTCTGGCTGCTATTCACTCCTCTGTACACATTTCCCAGCTGGGCATAACAGCAGCAGATGCTGCCTGTTATTGTTCACAACCTAGCAATGTGTCTAACAGTCTGTGCAAGTTTTCTGCATGCATAATACCACTTTCCTCCATTAAGGGGTGCTGAGTATGAAGAAACATGGTATACACGCTCACATTCCAAGCAAATCAAGTCTAGTTGCAGATTACTCCTGTGCTCAGAAAGGGTAAACC